AATACTATGTCACAACAAAACCCAAAATGAAAAACAGGGTGAGCAAAAGTAGGTTTACAGTTGTAAGCACATGAAACACAAGTTTATTTATTTTTAAAAAAATATATTTTTATTGATTTCAGAGAGGAAGGAAAAGGGAGTGATAGAAACATCAATGATGAAAGAGAATCATTGATTGGCTGCCTCTTGCACAACCCCTACTGGGGATCAAGCCGGCAACCTGGGCATATGCCCTTGACCAGAATCGAACCTGGGGCTCTTCAGTCCACAGGCCGACACTCTATCCCAGGGGTCCTCAAACTACGGCCCGAGGGCCACATGCAAATACAAATATTGTATTTGTTCCTGTTTTGTTTTTTTACTTCAAAATAAGATATGTGCAGTGTGCATAGGAATTTGTTCATATTTTTTTTTAAACTATAGTCCAGCCCTCCAACAGTCTGAGGGACAGTGAACTGGCCCCCTGTTTAAAAAGTTTGAGGACCCCTGCTCTATCCACTGAGCCAAACCAGCTAAGGCCACAAGTTTTTTCCTGTATTTATTTTTTATTCTTGTACTAGAGGCCCAGTGTATGAATTCGTGCACCAGTGGGATCCCTCGGCCTGGCCTGTGGGATTAAGCTGAAACAGCTTTCTGACATCCCGAGGGGTCCCAGATTGCAAGAGGGCGCAGGCCAGGAACCTCACAGGTGCACGATTGGGGCCGGGAAGGGATGCGGGAGGTTGGCCAGCCCTCAAAGGAGGGCTTCAGGACATGTCCAGCCCATCTCGCTCAGCCGGACCCCAGCAGCAAGCTAACCTACCGGTCAGAGCGTCTGCCCCCTAGTGGTCAGTGCACATCACAACGAGCGGTTGAGCGGCCTCAGCATTTCATTAGCATATTACGCTTTGATTGGTTGAATGGATGACTGGACACTTAGCATATTAGGCTTTTATTATATAGGATTATATATTTTTCCTTAACAACTATAAACCTACTTTTACAACCCCTTTATATACAAGATGACTCCATGTATGTAAGGTTAAAAAATGGTCAAAACTAAACTCTATTATTTAGGGATGTAAACTCAGATGAAACTATAAATGTCAGAATAACATTTACATCTAGCTTAAGAGGGTGGTAGTCATGATGGGAAGATGCAGGGTGTGGAAGTCTTCTCAGATGTTGACAATGTCTGTTTTGCCCTGGGTGGTATTTACAAGGTTCTCTGTTTAAAAATGCTGCCCAGTTGGGACCTGCGTACAGGATGTTATATCATGTTCCTAGAAGGGCACTTGAAGGAAACCTATGGAATGGCTACCACATTGCAACTGGCAGTGGTGACAACACCTGCAAAGTATGGGATCTTTGACAGCGGCACTGCAGCTATACCATCCCTGCTCATCAGATTTTAGTGACTGGTGTCAAGTTTGAGCCTATCCATGGGAATTTCTTGCTCACTGGTGCCTATGAAAACACAGCCAAGATCTGGACCCATCCAAGCTGGTTCCCACTGAATACTTTGGCTAGCCATGAAGGCAAAGTAATAGGCCTAATTTCTTTTATGGGCAGCTTATAGCCACTTGCTCATATGACAGGACCTTCAAGCTCTGGATGGCTGAATAGGCACGACCATAGAAAATGGACTCAAACCTCAAGCTCTCCCTTAAGAGCCATTTTGTTCTATCATGTTTGCTGCCAATTACCATGTATAGACCCTCAGTAGATTGGATTCTATGTCAGCCCCTACTTCAAGCAGGCAGTCCAGTTCCTGAGTGCTGGTGAACCCCTTTCATGCTTAAATTTTAATGTCATCTTCAAGCCCTGCCAGTAACTATGTAGACAATTGTTTTTATTAATCTTTTGTTTGAACACCCTGTTGCCTTCCTCACAGCACTCAGGATTGTGGCTAGCTCCATTTTTAATTCTTGAAACTTGGCTTTCTATTACATGGTACATGCTTCAGGACTACATGTGACCCAGGGAGCAAGGTGGCTGGACTGCAGTCTGGGAGCCCTCGAATAAAGAGGCACATCTCACCACATACTGGTTAAACAATGCCTGACAAAGCGAGAACCTTTCCTCTGCCCTGAGAATGGGAGGTGAAGAGGTAGACCCACAGTGATGCTCAGAGTTATGCATACTCTTCCTGTTGACTTCACTTGGAATGGTACCTGCATTAGGGAGCTTCAGGAAGCTCAGAACAGATCATTTGTCTTGTTGGAAAATGTCTTCCATTTTTCTTTGAAGTTTGGCATCTTTGTGTTACCCCAAAGCTAGACCATTGTATCAACATTCAATGAAATTTTTAGAAAGCTAAAAAAGCAAACAAACAAAAAACTTCCCAGCCTATTTGGCTCAGTGGCTGAGCGTCCACCTATGAACCAGGAGGTCACGGTTTGAATCCTGGTCAGGGCACATGCCAGGTTGCAGGCTCAATCCCCAGTGTGCAGCATGCAGGAGGCAGCCAGCCAATGATTCTCTTTCATCATTGATGTTTCTATTTCTCTCTCCTCTCTGAAATCAGTAAAATATATTTTTAAATTTTTTTTCTACGTATCATTTCAACATGTGTGGTTATATTTCCAAGTAGGAAAAGGAAAATACTCTCCTCAGAGGGGATAAAAACAAAATTAACATCCTAAAGAAAATTTTAAGAATGTTACTCAAAGAGATTAACTCAATCTTCAGTTTAAAAAAAGTAATCGGGATCTCTAATTCCAAAGGCATACTGTATCCTAAACTCTACAAATAAACTTTGAACTTTAATGTTAGAATGCCATTCTTCATCCAAATTTTGAAAAAGGTGGAATTTCAGATATCAAATGACTCAAGAAGTCATATAAATCCTATAATTTTAATATCAAACACCCCACTTCTAATTTTGAAACTTGAAATAAGTGTCCAGTGTTGACTGGGCAATTATATAGCAATTTAATTCCAGTTTTTGCAAACAATTAAATTCCCAAACATATTAAATACTCATACTGATTTTTTAAAAAGCATACATTATATATGTAGGATTAAATAGCAAAGTCATGTAAATTAAATGATTAAAAGTGTTTTTATTGTACTTATACCACATTTCTCAAGTCATGATACAAGGAACAAATTATGTTTGGTATATGAATTTAACTATTACAGATTAATAAAATGTTTATTGACTTTAGAAGCTGTTGAAAAGACAATTAAAAAATGTGAGCCATTAACAAAATATAGACTTTTTAGATTCTTGTATATAAGAGTATATTCATAGATTTTTAAAAAGCTGGAGTTAATACATTAGAAATCTTAAAAATGTATAGATCTTTTCTTTGAGAAGAGTAAAGGTGGCACAGTCAACTAAGTCACTAAACTAACAAGATACCTTAAAATCCAGATTAGGTAAAACAGTGGTTTTTAAAAAGTTATTGAACCACTTTATTAAGGACTACTTTTTGCACCAAGAACATTAGAGAGCCTGTTTCATAATTTCATAAAGTCATTAAAACTAAAACATTATACAGCTAAATATCATCTGGGGGGAAAAAAATGAAAAGAACAGAAAAGGAAACAAAATAAGACTCCTTACCCAGGTATAAAATTTGCCCCAATACCAGTGCTATTAAAAGGGATCTACCAAGGCATCCAAACATGTCATTAAATATTTGTTTGATATTATGAAGTTACTCTCTTACCAGTTAAAGATTCAATTTTTTAAAACAGATTTAGAAATTTTCTTCCTATCCCCGGACCTCCCCTACCAAGCTTCTTATTCCCTAAGTCTACTAGATGTGCTGTGTAAATTACCTTAGTTCAGCGGTTCTCAACCTGTGGGTCACGACCCCTTTGGGGGTCGAACGACCCTTTCACAGGGGTCGTCTAAGACCATCGGAAAACACATATATCATTACATATTGTTTTTGTGATTAATCACTATGCTTTAATTATGTTCAATTTGTAACAATGAAAATACATCCTGCATATCAGATATTTACATTACGATTCATAACAGTAGCAAAATTACAGGTATGAAGTAGCATTGAAAATAATTTTATGGTTGGGGGTCACCACAACATGAGGAACTGTATTAAAGGGTCGCGGCATTAGGAAGATTGAGAACCACTGCCTTAGTTAATTAGTGCTTCCCTCTCATAAGTATTCGAAACTTGTGAGATTTCTTTTATGATGAAGAGCTAAAAAGTTTATTTTCTTCTGGTTTCCTGGCGGAAAGAAGGCTCAGAGCACGCGAAACGGAAACAAAACCCACACACACTGTGGCTCTGCTAAATACTATAGGTAGGGCACCTCCTTCAACACCAAAGCTCCGGTCCCAGCGAGCCTCCGCCGGGGTGGTCAGCGCCCACGGACCACGCACAGCCGCCTGCGGAACACCGGGCCTGGGCCAAGCTTGAACCCCGCTCCGCACAGGGTTTCAGAAACAAGGTCAATGCGAGTGCAGCAAGCACTTTTAAAGAGGTGGTTGCACAACAGGCTTAGGGAAGGATTCCGGTTTAACAGGTAAATACTACATAGGAGACAGGAGGGATGTGAGCTGCTCGAGACTGTCTGCATCACCGAACAAACCCAAAGTTTCAGCACATCACCTACAGTTCACCTGAGGAATATCGCAACAAATCGAAATTGAGAACGTGAGAAAATGGTGCTGCAGAATTAAGAAATCAGCACTAAATTCAAGCGAGGCGGAAAAATTCTTTACTACTCGGGCTTTTGTTTCGAGGAGACGACAGACCCCCGAATTTCAGAGTTGGAAGACACGTCTCTCCGCGTTCTCCTGCCCGTTCTGGGGCTTCAGGGCCGCCCCGCTCTGGGTCGCGTAGTTCCCGGATGGAAGGCACGGACCTCGGCAGTGGAAGCCAGGGAGTCCTGGGGGAGGCCGCGGCCGGACCCGCCACGCCAGGGCCCGGGAACGGCCTCCCGGAGGACGGCGGAGGGGGCAGGGATGGAGCGAGGGGGCCGCAAACCGATAGCAGAGCGCAGCCCTGATTGGGCGCAAGGCCCGACACCCCACCCCGGAGTACCTTTGGCGAGAGCTACGGTGGAGTTCTCGGTGTCGATGGTGTAGAGGATGCCCTCGTAGCGGATCTCCGCCTTGGAGATAAGGCTGATCTTGCTGCCGATGTACGGGGTGCCCCCACTCATGGCGCCGCCGCCGCTCTAGGCCGCTGGCAGAGAGGCAGATTCCACGCCGCGGTCGCCGCTCTGCACGCCCGCTCGCTCCGTCGGTGCCTACAGCAGCTGCCTCAGACCCAACATGGCGGCGGCGCCGGCTCCGCTACCCTCCCCCAGCCTTCCGCCCTCAAGCCGCGGCGCGGCGGCGGCGGCGGCAGTAGCGGCGGCGGCGCGGGGCATGCTGGGCCAGTGAGGCCGGGCTCTCGCGAGACTCGGCTGGCTGCGTGAGGCTCCGCAGTTCTCCGCGGATTCTGTAGTCCCGGTAGCACCCCTTGACCTGGTCTAGTGGGATCCTGTCTGGGCCGCCTGAGAGGAGTTTGAGGAGAGGCGAAGTGCTTCCTGGCGCCGAGACCCCGTGGGTGCGCGGCCCTGTTGACCTCAGGTGTGGCCTTCACTATTTCCATACCGGTTGTAGCTTGTCTTTGCCAAGGTCCCCAACCCTGGCCTGGAACTGGTATTCTGTCCACACTTTCAGATGGTCCCATTCCGGCTCTTAGCTTTCAAAACCGTTGAGTATTTTTTAAATATACATATTTTTTATTGATTTCAGAGAGGGAGGGAGAGTGATAGAAACTCACTCTCAATGATGAGAGAATCATTGATCGGCTACCTCCTGCCCACCCCCTACAGGGGATCAAGCTGGCAACCTGGGCATATGCCCTTGGCTGGAATCAAACCTGGGACCCTTCAGTCTGCAGGCCTACGTTCTACCCACTGAGCCAAACTGGCTAGGGCCCATTGAGTATTTGCAGCTTTGATCAATTCTGTGAACTCAGAATTCATATAAATAGACTCAACCTCAGTTGGATGTCTTAATTGGCAACTTTGTGTGTCCAAAGCCTTACTTCCAATTTCCTCTCCAAACCTAACCTTTTTAAAATTATATATATATATATATATATAT